TTAAGTGTTTTTTAATCAATTTTTTTTATAAAGATAATACAAGAAAATATTTGTAAATTAAATTTTCAATAGAAAAAGTCAATTCTGATACTAAAAATAGCATTTAAACATGAAAGAAAGGTCAATATATCACTAGTGATAATATCAAAATGTAAATGTAATGTAGATTACCATATATTATTAGTTAAAACAAAACTTAAATTATATCCTAAAATATCCTTACAAGATAGGCTCGTATAATTATGTATATAGATGCACAACTAAAGTTAGCATTTAGATACAATTATCCATATTCATCACCCAAGTTGTTTTAAACCTTAACATTTGAGTAAAAAACGAATATGATAGTCTTATAAGGTAATGTGACAGGAAATTCAATCAAGTTTGATTGCTGCCATCTTGAGTTGGTGCATGAGCTATGATCATCCGTTACGAATTTAAAGAACACACTGATTTTTACTTTAAAATATTGTGTTTTCTATTCTTCATTTCTCATTTCGATTAGTGAAACTAAATTAATGGTCGTGTTTCTAATTGCACGGTTATACCGGATAACTATAATCAAGAAAGATTCTAAGATAATAATTAATATTCATATTCCATTAGTAAAAGTATGACAACTTCACTTAAGCCCCGCATGTCACTACAAATATCATAGTATCGTTTACCAATCATATTAAAAGCCTCTAGTACAAATTATCTTCACTTTCTACATATTGCAAAATTTTAATCCTCTATTATCTTCTGCATCTTCTAGATCGGGATATCGACCTGCAAAACCCAAAAAATAAATTGAATAGTAGATATTAGTAATACCAACAGTAATGTATAAGCCCTTTCTGAAAAAAAAGAGAAACTAACCATTTCATTTAAAAGATAATACTAAGAATTATATGAACCAGAACCCGGTTTACTTCTCAAGAACTTTTTGAGGGTTTGGCATCGCGAAACTTATTTCTGAGTCTACATTTTCGGTTTTGAAACCACTTGTAGACATCTTCATCTTTTACTTCTTCACCAAATTTTTGAAGTTGGATCGTGGTATGTTTAATATCGGTTAGAGACGGGTTAACTGTACCGCCTGAAGAGATCCTCGAGTAGTAGAGTCTGTTGTACATTTGGTTCCCATTCCGGTTAATTCATGAAAGAGTAAATTAATTAGAAATAACATTTTTCAAAGAATCCTATTATATAAAGGAGAATGCGCGCGATGAGAGATTGACACATAGGCAAAACTTTTAAGCACCAAATCGCGACATGTGGCTATCCTTCATCAGATGATGACATGTGTCAATATATATTAATATCTTAATTTTTCTTAAAAACCAAAAAAATTAAAAAAGAAAAATATCTTAAAACCAAAACCTTTAAAAAAAATTCATGTAATGTTACTTATTCACGATGAGAACACGACACGTAAGCAAAATTCTTATTCACAAGATTATGACATATGTAATTGTTAATTTAGATTGTGACATGTGTCAATATTAACAAAAAAATTTAAAAAGAAAATAAGGAATATATTTTAAATAAGGATTTGGACTAATTAGAAAAAAAAACGTTTTACTAAAATATGCAATATTTCCAATATT